AGAGAAGTAAAGCAGGTAAGAGAAGTAAAGCAGGTAAGAGAAGTAAAGCAGGTAAGAGAAGAAAAGCAGGCGAGAGAGAAGTGCAGTCAAGTGGAAGACAAACGCAGCTAAAGGAGTGAGAGAGAAGGTGGTTGAATACTGCGGCTTTCCACGTCCGATTGAACACGCCGCTGCAATTCCTCTGTTAGGTGCAATTACCTACCCGGCACAAGTCAATTGGCCACAACCTAATAATGCAGCAGGTAGAATGCCCTTTTGGAACTCAACTATTCGTACAGGCGCGCTACGAAGCTAATTGCAGGACCTCCTAAATTGCTGAGCCTGCTAGCTGTTTAATCGGACGTGGAAAACAGCAGTACAGAGGAGAGCAGGGGGGGTTCAGTCGGATCTATGTGAAAAGAAGCAGTTGGCGACGGTGACCCCGCAGTTGCTGTTGTCCCGACCAGTGGGCTGTTCGAAAACGTGCCAGTTTGCATTATTGCGAGCGGGGGTTGACTGTCTCAGGATACATACAATTTGGCTCATGATCCGAAGAGTTGTGTGTGGCCTGCACCAGATGCAGACCGAGCTGTTGCATATGAATCATCCGGGACGGATCGAATAGAGAACTAGTCTACTTGTCAATAGTAATATAACTCGCATGTGGTGTTCTAAAGATACACCTTTGCGCAATCTCTACATTGACTGGGGAACCCGGGAAACAAAAGACACGCGCGGATGAAGAGGTGACAGCCGGGAGGATTCCTGTTCGCAAGGGCGGATGTGATAGCCTAGAATCAGATGGGCGCTTGCGACCACGTGGAGAGCGACAGGGCGGATAATTATTGCAACCCTGGGGTCTGGGGGGTGTTGTCTGTGCAGCCAACAGTGAATATGTAGATATCGGCTGCAATGATGGATGGGACAGTCGATGGAAAAGGACCTCCGTTCGTGGCCTTGCGTATTCGCTCACAACGTCGAGGATGGGAAGAGAACGTTTCAACGTTCCTGCGCAGGCGATGGCGGGAACGAGAATGTCCGCGCACTGGTGAAACGCCAGAGGCGTGGACCAGCTTGAATGAGCGACATGCTAATTTGTCTGTTGCAATTCTGTTGGGTGTTATTAGACGGCGCACTCTGTGGGTTAGCTGGCGACTGGCCGCTCGGAGAGTCCGTATCACCATCCTCCCACAGTACAGCGTACCAGACCAAGAGCACAAATGGCGTTTACATACACAGTACTTGAAGGTAGATTGTTATGGAAGCTGCAGCAGACGGTAAGACACATGAAGGTATCAAAGTTCATGGACCTTTTCCGGTGTACCGTGTGTGGTATGTATGGCGGAGTCTCGCGGAATGCCAAGCCGGAGGAAAGTGGCTCCGGAACCCAAAATCAACCCCGTTGCATCGAACTCCAGGAATTGTGCAACCATCAAAGTTTCCAGTCGGCTGTTCTCACACATGCAGAGAGGTGAGTTCCCTTCAGTCGCCTCAGAGACATGAATCTTTAACAAAACAGTTCGCGAACACTCAGAGACGAACGACCTGCTCGCTTACAACAAAGGCCCGAAACACTGACAGGGTCCAAGTTCCTCGCGGAGCATGCCACGGTCTATCCCCGGGGGGCCAAGGTAAAATTGAGGGGGTGCTGGCCATGCGGTTCGAGGAGGTCATGGCGGGGAGCCGCTTTGGGTGAGATCAAACAGGAAACGCAACCTTGTGAAACAATGGCCAGCCCCCAGGCAAAGTAAGCTGGGTCCGCCTCTCCAATTGGTTGGACCGCAGGCGACGAGTATTTATTGGCAAATGGACGTGCGACATGGTCGCAAGCACCGCAGGACATGCGCTTCGAATCACGCTCGCGAGCAAGCAAGCTGACCCATGGACATAACGCCGCTGAGTGGTGCTGATGGCCTGAAAAGGCACCGCAGTTCAGTTCCATCGTGAATGAGACGAGATGTAAAGAAAGCGGTCCGGCGAAATTTCTGTCGAGTGGTAGTGGAAGCGGCTCTGCGTTTTAAGGGGGAGCTAAGCGTGATGGCACTCGAAACATCCGGACGGATTCACGGAGTTTTGTGGCGCAGGTCTGCCCCAACAGGAACGCAGACGGGATATGGAACGTGTGGATTATTGGGGCATCCAGCACCTGCTCGCCGGCGATGCGGCGTGCTTCAACCAGCATTGGCGGCAGGTGCTAGGGTTCGGATTAGGGATTAGTAGGGCCTCCCCTCTTCGCAATCCCTCCGCTCCTTGTCTCGTTCGCTCCAGCTCCAGCCTCCCTGGGCTCTCCGTCCTCTTTCTCAAACACTCGTCCGTGCGCTCCTTTTTTATCAGTCTATCACCCCTCCGCCGGCCCTTCTCTGGGCTCCTCGCGGTGCGCACGCATTTACGGCTTCACATCTTTTCGCCTCCTGGCCAGAGTCTGGGTGCGATCGACGCGTAGATTGACCCGCCGCCGTCGCTCTCTGTCTCACCGTCACACAAGCCCCCGATCTTGATTAGCTGAGCCCATCCTTTGACACTTACTGTGTTAGTGTTGCGGCTTGTCTCCAGCATTCTGCGACACTCCTCTCATCTGCCTCTCTCCTAACCACGAACCCACTTTGGGCCTCCTTGCTCAGCCATGACAACGGCTGTTGCTTCACCCCCGGTCACGGCGCCGCATGCTCCTCCCGCAGAGGGGGTTGGCAGTGCGAGAACATATGCGCCCATTGCGCCCTTGACTTCTCCTCCTCACGCCGTGACGCCTTCCAAATCCTCGAAGCTGGTTGCCGACAATGCCTCGCCGACCTCATCAACAGATGGCACTTCAGCCCAGCAGAGAGCGGACGGAAAGCGTTCACCTCACTCGTATGTCTCTTGCATCCCAACCTCGCTCTTCCTCTTCTACTTCCTACTCCCCTTCCTCTTCCACCTCTGGACGTCGCCGACCGTCCACTTGTTCCTCGCTCTCAGCCTCCATGTCTCCTCCCATGCAAGATGCCTCTTCTAACCGCAAGCCTTCGAGCAGATTGCGGAGCGCGCAAGCACCCAAGATCGTCGTCAAGAAGGAGCCCTCCTCGCCCGACATGACGAGCTCTCGTCACCGACCCAGACGGCTGGATCTTTCAACCAACAGTCACATCGTCCACACCTCCGGCGCCCTCACCTCTCGACCCGATCCCATGAGTTCAAAGGGGAGTGCATCGATAATCGACGTCGGCCTTGCCTGTCTCTCCCCGGGCTTCCACACCCAGGACCCCACGATGCGGGAACAACTTCAGCGCAGCATAGATGTCAGGGAACGACAGAGGCAGATCATTGAAGCGCGGCAGAAGCAGGGTAAAGGGGGCAACGCGGATGAGGAGAGCGCCCAGATGACCCCGTTTGGACGGGCAATGAAGACTCCCAGCACTTCTCGGCGGAAGGGACCTCCCCCGGGTCTTTCCATCGCACCCCCCTCACACCAACAGTTTGCAAATGAGCGGGTTATCCAGTCGGCGCCGATCAACCAGTCCTTCACGGGCCTTCGACCTAATATTCCACCGTCTCGTCACGCTGCGAACGGCCCCTCAAACCTGTCGCAGACCTCTCACATCCACCACGTCCCCGCAACGCAGACAAACAACCGCCTACCACCCATCTCGGACGTGTTCCCCGAGCCACTTGGTGCACCCCGGAACCCATTCAACAACAGCCCAGGCCACTCCTCGCACTCCAACAACCAGCCCCCGCTCCCGTCTCCCAGCTTTCCTCCCCAGCAGCAACAGGCCCCACAGCCGGCCCGCCGTCGCGAATATAGCTCGGCTGAGGAGGCCGTGCAGTCCCTGTCCGGTGGCCGAGAGGACCTCCTGCCCCGCATTGTTCATTATGGTGGCCACCAGCCGCCTACCCCGCCCTCCCCGATGCCAAAGCAGAATGCGTCTTCATCATACGCGCCAGCAAATGCAGAGACACATCGCAGCAGCAGCTCCCGAAGGCGAGGTCGCGACGAGTACGAAAGGGATAACGGAACGCCGCCCCTTGGTCGTCAGCAGCCCCGCACTGGACCCTTTGGCGAGGGCCGCGACACGCCGGAGACGCAGCGGAGGAAGAAGGAGGAATTTATCCAGCTTTGTTCGAGAGCATGGGATCTGTTCCACTCGTGAGGTGGTACGAGACGCTGAATTTCTGCGGCAATACTACGTTGGAGCGGATTTTTTTGTCTGATGGCATGGCGTTTTCGGAGTGTCTACGGCTTATCTGATCAGGCGGTTTGCCATTTTCTCGTTGGTCGCTCGAGTTTCATCGCCTTTACCCTTCGGTCCCGTTTGCTGTTTTGGTGAATTAACCACTTGCACATTCCGTTTCGCTTCTTTTACCTGAACGTTCATATTCTCTTCTTCTGCCCCGAGTGACATTCTGGTGGCGGTGGCTCAGAGAGCTTCATATCCCAGCCCGTTCCCCTTGTCTCGCACCATGGGTATTTCTGTCGCTTGAATCAAGCGGATGGATGTTGGAGTACGAAGGCTTTTGGGACTTAATATCTTCTTCCATTGGACGGCGGTTGAGATGGTAGATGTGGCGTAGTAGATTTGAAGTTGATTTCGCACAGTGGGGGGGAGGGGGGCAGAAAAAGTGTATTTTGGATGATGGAGATATCCCCTTTGGTGGTAGTTTGCTTGGGTAGCGAATCGAGATGGTGCAATTGACATATGGAGTCCTTCATTATCGATGTAATGGTCGCGAGATCCTACAACCACATTGCTCCCCGTATGCCATGCCCTTGCGGACCACTGGCTGATCAGTCGGACGGGAAAAGACGCAGACGTCGTGAGTGGCGTGGAACGCCCCCTTTCCAGGTGTAGTAAGCATTGGAACCACCGTCCGCGAATGGCGTAATCCGCCTGTAGTACGTACATAGATGGATCTTCAGTCAAACACGAAAGCCCGCAGTAGGGGGAAGAATAGAGCTCATATCTCACGCTCATCCACCTTATCCGTCCCAAGGCATTTCCTGCCAATCGAGATTCTACTGCACCCAATATGTAGCTTCAACTAACGCCAATAGAGAGGAGGGAAGAACGGGGTCAACTGGGAAAACTCATGTCTGTAGGACCCCCGGAACTGGTTATCCGTACTGTATGTAGCGATTTGCCTCACCTGCTTTCTTTGCGTTTGGTTGTAGCGTCAGGACCACCGCTTTCGTTGATTTAGCATTACTCAAACGGCATGCTCGGATGACGGCTTTGGGCCTCAAAATGTTGTGGACTAATGGGCGGTCGTCTCAAGCTCGTCGATACCGATACTGACGTTGTTGTGGTCGTCGTGGCTGTACAGGTGTCCCTGACCCCCAAACACTGTTTCCAAGCAACTGATTCCTGGCTGTCTTGGACCTTGCCCGCCTCGAAAGGTGGCAGCCTAATAGGCACTAACTTAGGCTTGTTAATGCTAATACTAACGTTGTTGTAGCTGTTAAGTTGCTCAGATGTCCCTGATACCCAAACACTTCCTTCAAACAGCCGAATTTCCACCTGTCTTCGGGCCCTGCCCGCCTCGAAACGCGGTGGATACTAATGGGCCGACTCAAGCTTGTCGATGCTGATACTGACGCAGTTGTGGTCGTAGGAGTGCCGCTGGCAACGACGACACTTGTTCCTGTGACAGCATCTGCGTCCAATCTCCGACGCTTGCTTCGCAAATCCTTCCATGGTTGTGCAGTTCATCTGGCCCATCCTGTCCGTCTTCTGCGTTTTGCGTTTGTTGTTTTCCTCGTGACACTGGTTGTGTTGGAGAACCCAACTCCCCGGCGTCCATCTGGCCTATGATGTCCGCCATCCGCTTCCGTCGCTCGCTGTTCCCTCGCGGCACTGATCCATTTTTTGCTTCTCACTTGCCTTCCTGCTGCCACCGGTTCATCTTTTGCTTGTTGCTCGCCCTCATCGTAACACTGGGCCATCTTTCGCTTGTTACTTGGCTCCTGCTCGGAAGTCTTTTCCTGTTGGTTGATCCATCTGTGCCTGGGTTTCTTCGCTCGGACGATGTCGAATGCTTCGGTTCAGCGAGGCTCAAATGCTCCGACGACGTGGTCCCCGCGCGGGAACCGCAGAAGAATCGGCTTCGGTTTGTATGCCATTGAGTATCTCTGTCTCCTTTGATCATTGATTGAAGTGTTACGTTTAGCTACCACAATACACTCATCAACTTTGAATGCATCAACTCTTCACAATGGTAAGGAGTGAGAATATCCAGTAGATGGTTTGCCCAATCAGTAGAAAATGCTTCAAGATAGAATGCTTTCGCAAATTCCCAGTATTCCGGGTACCACCCTGCCATTTCCCAGTCGATGATTGCCGCCACGCGACCGTCCTTGACGATGATGTTAGCAGGCCTAAGGTCGCCATGAGTGAAGACAATGCTATGCTTATGTGAATCAAGCATGCCACGAATATAAGGGCCAACATGGCCTTTTGACTTTGCCACGAAGGTGTCGGCAATCGTAGCGTTGAAATCTTCTTCGCTGTTGAACGGTCCTTGAAATAGGGTAAGAAACACTTCAACGGCCGCATGCGACGTGTTCAAACTGGTGTGCACCGACCTCTCGAAGTGGTAGACCACTCCAATATGATATCAGTGACCGGTCCACCATTTACAGATCCTATGTAATTGGCCGGCGGAATAGAGCGAAGTTCTGCCAAGTACTTCTTCAAGTCTACCGAAAGCTGCTGCTTCTCAATGGTATTATATCTCCCCCATGATTTCTCCAAGTCCTCGCCTTCAATAAACTCCATGAAGATATACGTATCATAGACACTTCCAAAATCGTCGACGTCTCGGTCCAATGGCCCGTACGCATATGCTGCATATAATCTTGGGACGGGTATTGATGTGCGCTCTCGCACGAATGACATGGTCTTTGCTTCGATGAGGGACGCATGAGAGCCGTACTTGACAAGCATCGACGGGGAAATCTTCGCGAGCTGTGTGCCGGCTCCTACAGTTATAACTTTCAGCTTAGACGCCTCTACCTGCTCTGGGCTGATGATGTCGTGGCCCGGAGCCACGTATAAGACGTTTATCTTTGGATCGGCAGGCATAGAGTCGTAGAGTTCGGGCATTGCGGCTGCCTGGAGGGCAGCGATGGCCTGTTGCCATGCTTTAGCATATCGTGCATTTATTTAGAAGATCCGCTTACCGTCATCTTTTCTTTAGAGAGGCGGGGAACTACTCGGCTTGCTTTGGAACGGATGTGTTGCTGTCCGCTCGACGCGGCACCGCACCGCAGAAGTCAACCCCGCCACGAGCAACAGGTACTGGCGTCAAAACAGTAGTAATTCCGTACGTCTGTTGTTACGGAGGAATCATTGGTCGTCTACCAACAACAAGGAGCTGAGGGTCAGATTTCTACCCTAGGGTACTCCAAGTCGTATCAGGTGTATCTAGAGCGTCCCCAAAAGGAGGAGATGCCTACCTTGTTACCCCTAAATCAGCTTTCCGCTTAATATATAGTTGCAATTATACTACCCTATAACTTCGCCTTTTAAAGGCCCGTTTATTCTACTGTATACAAATCTGTGCGCACGCCATCTGTCACAAAGTCGAAATACCCCACCTCAAGTGCTCAAATCGGCTACCACACTCAAGCCTTCAACACTCGGTCATTTATAGTAGTATATAGTTAATAAAAAAGTCATATTTACCATCAAATAAGTCAACAGGTCGCTTAGCTCAGTTGGTTAGAGCGTGGTGCTAATAGTCACATGACTTGAGAACGCCAAGGTCGCGAGTTCGACCCTCGTAGTGACCAATCATTCTGTTTCTTTTTCCTTTTTTGCTTTTTTGCTCTTTTTTAGAAGTTGATTTTTGGCTCGAAGAGGTGCTACCGTACGGCACCTATTCTTTGCGGTGTACCCCTTTTTTGCGGTTTCGAACACCACTGTTTCCGCAAGATTCCTAGACAGAAGAAGCTTGTGCAACTTAGATAGAAGGGGCTGCAAAGACTATGTCTCTGCACAGTTTCTATATCTTAGTTTATTATA